TAATCAACATAACTGGAGTTATTGTACTGAGGTTTCCCAAGATCGCTGACATATCTGATACGTTCTTTCAGTTTCGTGAATATTGTCTTTATTTATGCACCATGTAGTCATCAACCAATAGTCAGATCTTTGATACATTTGTAACTGCAGTCTAGTTGTCCTTAAATGTTTTTTTTCCTTTATTTCTACCATGTTTTACTCCATGTAAAATGTTTGTATAAAATATTAATTTATGAGCTACAGATAAAAATCTGTAAATTAAAAATCTTTATGACAAGGGCACTCATCATCTAACTTATATATTGACTGTTGGTCCGTCATTTTCTATGAGTCAATACCTTTGTTCTTAAGGAATGAGTCAGGTTTTCCATTCCATTTCTTCTATATCCTTGGAGGTTGACATTTTAGCCAACTCCTCTGACTTCCTTTTTGAATTTTATTGAACTTTTAATCAAAACTTCCAAACCAAATAAATGTGAAGTTGAGCTGATTCTTATACTTATGTTTTCCACAGCTCAGCAGAAATCTGATCAGTTTAAGGTTTTATTCATGTCTCAGTTAAAGTGTGCATTAAAGATCAAGTCTCACCATTCTGGCAAACAGCTCGTGCAGTTTCTCTGCATTTTCTTTCACAGTCTCGTAAGCCTTCTGCTGCTGATTGCTGTCATTCAGTTTGACCTCTCCTTTCAGGAGCCTCCGGACATATTCTACTGTCACTTCCTGGTGAAGCTGACCAATCAGCTCCTGAATTTAGCCCAAGTATATAAGTAATCAAAATGCATTATAATCCTTTTACTTAAACATTAGAAATGAAGGCAATAATGGCCATTCAGTCCATTATAAAGTTTCCTCCTTTTACCTGGTAAGAGGACTGACTCGAACCCTGAAGTTCTTGAAGCTCGTCTTCAGTGCTGTTCAGCAGCTTCTCAAACGTCTTCTTCTTCAGCCAGTCACTAGTTCCCAGTTTCTGGTAGTGTGGCTGTGTGAGGAACAAATAACATAGTTTTTTAAATCTTTGATTAAAACATGTTAGGATTTAATCCTGAGGATTATTCATATCTGCAGTTGTAAAGAACTTACTTTGAGGATCTTGTGCACAGGAGTTAATAAATAAGTGTGGGCAGACTGTTTCATCTCAGTCAGGACCTGCAAACATTTTTTCTTCACATCCTCTGGGAACAGTTCGTGCTTCACAAGGAAGTCCCTTTAGACAGACCACACAGGACACATTAGCTCACAGTGACGTATTCGCCTGTTATGATGAAGATAAAATCTGAATTTCTATCTAACTGGATCAGAAACATACCTGAGCTGTTTGACACAGCTGAGGTTTGCCTTTATGAAAGCTTTGCTGTGCCGTTTGTTCTGCCTTATGATGTCTTTGTGAAATTTTTGATACCTGCAGAAGATTAAAAACATTTTTCACTTCTATTATCTTGTTATCACCAAACATTAAACTAAAATGTATTTTCAAATTTAAATATTTAAAAGACAGCCTTGTGAAGCCTTGTTACCTCTGCATGAAGTCTTTCAGGTTGGATGTTATTTCCTGGGCCTTGTGTCGGTCTCCTACAATTTTGTGCGCTGATGTCACGATGCCGTTGATAAACTGAAGACAAATGGATTGACAAATCAGTGCCAGTTTTAAGTACCCAAAGCACTTTACACAGCAATGCACTTCCATCATTTTCAGATCCAGTTAAACACCAGGAACCAAACCCAGTGCTTTACAATGTTAGTGACAAACCCAAGTGATTAAACTACAGAACCATGGGAGGGTTTGAAACTGTGACTCTGATCTGACAGTAAATGAATTTCTATAATTGACCCAAACAAAAACTATTGTCTTCCTTGTTTGTCAATCTTTTTCTCAAAGTTTCTCAAAGTCTTTTTCAGTTTGGTTAATATGTGCAGCAGGCTGGAAAATATTTGTCAGCACTTCTTTGGAAAATTTTGAAGTGGATAACAGAGTAAATGTCATTCTGTACATTTTGTTCTCCTATAATCAAAACAATGTTATGTTGATATGTAACCAAAAGAATTTTTTTATTGCACAGATCTGATATAGCAATTTATTCAAAGCCTCTCAAAATGAGCTCAAGGGGGATAACTAATGAGGTTTCTCTCATTGTAAATAATGACGCCAGAGACTTAATATGAGGAGTGTGTGAGCTGGAGACTGGCAGGAAAGCAGGTGGAGTGGGTGCCGTACCTGTCAACAAGCAAATGTGTGTGATTTGCAATAAACACTCCTCAACGTGATGCAGTGTGTCAGGCCAGTCACTACAGTCAACAATTACAAGTCATGACTCACTATAAGGATCCTTGAAGTTGGCCACCACAAGTGACGCCTTTCACTTTATATAATTACATTTTTATAAAAGCATTGATTTCAGCCTCTTTAACATTATGTTGTTGCAGAAACTCTACCTGGATGACATCATAGGCCACAGGACTGGCGTAGCAACCATCATCTCTTGTCGGCTCCTTTCCTTGATCCCACTCTTTCTTTGCTTCATCCAATACTCGGCCAATATAAATCATCAGGTTGCTCTAAACACACATCAACAAACAGTTTCACTTTTAAACTGCTTTCATGTGTAAAGATTTAATTACTGACAGTAATAATTGCATCTACAATATTATGTCTAAAAAAAACATCCACCAAAATCAGCAACTCTTTGATGCTGGACTTGCACATCTCACATTAGCCCTGCAATGACCATACTGATTAACTGGATACACGCCTTAGATCAGGGGTGTCCAAACTCCGGCCTGCGGGCCAACTGTGGTCCATTTTTAATTGGCCCGCAAGTAATTTTATAAATAGAATAGAATATGGCCCCCACTTCAACTTTTGATTGAGTGTATTGCACTTCTTAGTTTTAACACCAGGGGAAGCTGCTGTTGATCTACCAAAAAGGACAATCACAGAAGAAATTTATCCCCAAGTTACTAAACATGGCAGAACCAAATAAGCGAAAGGTAGAAAGTGAGTGCAGAAAATTTCATACACGGTGGGAGAGTGAATATTTCTTCAAAGAATTCAAGGGGACGTGTGTCTGTTTGATCTGCACTGAAACTGTGGCAGTTATGAAAGAGTATAATGTA